TGCGTGACGTAAGCTAGGATCGTTGGTGCCGGAAACCAAACTGCCTGCCCCTAATCAAGCCGCAACGTCCAAGTTACTTCAAAAGAACATCTACGTCACCTTACTTATAACAGCAAGCAAAGCTATAGGCCTCTAGTTGTAAGGGTGAGTCTCAGATCCTTTTTTGAGAGGGGTTTTACATGAGCGAATTTGCAGTTTTTTGGAAAAGTTTGGAGGTCCTGGGCTCTATTTCTAATAGTAGTGTCAGGCTGCAAATTGCCTAACACAAGTTTGTGATCGTATATATCGCATGTCGATACTTTGCATTCTTGAGCTGTTCCCGAACCCCGGTCGAATTTAATTAAACATCGAAAGCACCCTCGGCGGCAACCGTGTAACTTATCGCCTTCCCCTTTTTGTAAATATCACCAATACCTTTGTCAAGTTCTTTAGGGCCCATTATTCGAAGTTGCTCCCTTTCTTAGAGCCATAACTTACTTTAATACTGTTATAAGTTTCCGAGAAAATGTGGCAGCAGGCTGACGCACAGGAAAACACTGCATCGACCGCTGGGAATAGCACTGGTATATATGAGGCTCTGAGCCTGTAACGGCTCCATCCATTCTTTGCGGCTACATTTGCATTTGATGCAATTACGGAAAGTGTATCATTCGGCGAAAATCCACCTTAAAATCGTAGCTAGCTGAGATCACGCCGTTTACGACTTAAGCGCGGCGCTTAACCGTTTTTGGCCAGATTTGCCTTTTTATAATGAAATCGTTCATTTTATATTTTAAATATACTCAGTGACATTCGAAATGGCACTCCCAGAAAAAATAAATCCTTCAACTTGTTTTCTTTTGCGACATAATGACTATATTTAGGGCATACTGTGGCAACAATGTCAACTTTTTATCTTTGTTTTTGTTCACGTTTGTTAAAATTTTATCTCTTAGTTTTTTTGCTTCCTACCTGGCAGCAAGATATTAGTAGTAATTGATGGTTTCGCCTCTTCGTCCAACAATATCGACCCAGGTGTTGCTCAGGGATCGGTCTTGGACCCAGCATTGCTACTACTACATATAAACGATCTCCTGTCCTGCACTATCATTCTCATCCTCAGCTTTGCCGATGATAGAACTCTACACATAGGCGTTCAGTGTGACATGCTGCTCTGCTGACGAACCAGAAATAAGAAAACATCTGTACTTGTACCTCGACTAACAAAAAGTGTTCTAGCGCTCATATAGTTTCGATGGATGACCGAGTTCTGCCTGAAGAGAGTTTTTCCCGTTCTGCTACTCTTATGTATGTCATAAATTGGATTACCAAGGCGTGTTTAAGTTCCTTATGTCAGTCGTTGTGCTCCGGTGTACGCGAATGCTTGAGTAAAAAACCCATTAACTCAGCTTTCACCTGGCATATACCATAAAGATCAGTAATATTAACACTTGTTTGTGGAAAATAGATTGTCCATGTGTTACAGCATCAGAAGCGGCCATCTTCGATGCCAGTTGCTACACACATCAGTCGGTCTTTTAAATGCATTATGTACAAAATCAGTTACCCACCTGTTAGGTAGTCGTCGCAAGTATTCACCTTAATGAGTCTTACTGGAGATCCTATTGTTTGTTTATCTTAGCACAATAGCACAAAGCTTTTACTTAATGATACCTGTAATAACCAAGCAGTAAAATTTTATTGGTTAAGTTCACAATTACTTACCAGAAAGATTATTCATTTCATCATCATCATCAAAAAACGCCGAGACATGTCAATAGATTTGTCAATCGGGACAACTTTTTAACCAAAAACTACTTCACCCCTTTCACCCTCGGCCTCCTAGGGTGATTCCCTTAAAAATTTTAAGTGACAAGGGATATCGAGTAACAGCTTGTTTGAAAGGTCATTCAAAGTCCTGTATTTTGACAACTGATTTTCAAAATCAGTTAATTCGTTTTCGAGAAACTTAGAAAAATATTTATCTTAATTTGTTCAGAAAGAAAACAAAAATACACGAAAATACCACTTTTTATTTAAATTAGTGTTCACGTACCTTTGTAACAATCTTGGGATAGTAAAAATTAATTTATTGATTCACTTTCACTTTCAAAATGCTTACACACTAGACGGAAGTGTGGAAATGATTCTAATTTATGGTGCCCAAAAACAATGTGCTCGGCAAGCTGCCGTCACGCCAGACATCCGGGGAAGATAACTTCGCATAGGTATGTTTTGGAACTTGTTACTAAATTTACTCGAAATGGATCCGTTGCAAATAAAAAACATGATCATCGGAGAGTTTTGGATGACGATATGTTTTTGAAAATGTCCGTGGGGAGTTTGAACGGGCAACACTTATTGACATAAAAGTGATATGTTCGTATGTTTTTGTTTTCTGTCTGAACAGCTTAAGATAAATAAAGATTTTTCTAATTTTCTTCTAAAACAAATCCACCGATTTCAAAGAGCCAAATGTCAAAATAAAGGACTTCGAAAGACCTTTCAAACAGGGGTGAAGTAGTTTTTGGATAAAGAGTTGTCCCCCTTGACAAGTCTTTTGACGCGTCTCGGCGTTTTTTATTTTAATTAGTGGTTTTCCATAAATCCGTTGTGGGAGGTTTTCAGATGAACAGCCTGTATGTTAAAGAAGTATATCTAGCAAACTATATATTTTATCATTTATCTTGGATTGTTTACAATAATGTTCCTGCAAATCGTATTTTTCTGCTAGCATTACGATTCTTACAAACGCATGATTCCGATTACCCGTCAGTTGTAGGATGGTGGTACACATTGTCCATTATGAGTCATATCTTGCGGAATACTGATCAAACATTGGTTCCAATACATCATTTTCCCCTGAAACAACATGGCTGCTTCTTCTTCACTACCTACGTGCATCGAATAGTCCTCATATATTGCCGGTTATATCGTACTAAAAGGCCGCAAGGGCTAAGAGCCCTAAAGGCAGATATGACGTATATAAAATTTCCGAATGATCCCTAAAACCCGCTGTTTGTCTTTATCAGATGAACCAATCGTTTTGATCATTTATATGACAAGGGAAAACACAGAAAGGTGAAAGACACATCACAAAGCATGCAAGTTTGGGAATTATGCAGATGTCTAGTTTCACTGTAATAGACCAAGGAAGTATAATCGAGAGAATTTTTTAATTATGGACAAACATCTCAGCAAATAGCGCAGAAGCAGTTCTGACTTTCAGGTATTGTTAACTATAAACGAGAGTAGTAGAATATTGTCACCCGGAAAGGTCATCCAGTCTGATGGTAATGATACAATAGATCGACACTTAAAAGGTGCTGAGAGGTTATGGGTCCAGTCCCTCTATATTCTGCCTATTGATCCCATTTTAATTATTTTAAGAGACTTCAAAAATGAGTTGGAAGATACGCTTTATTAGTCAGTCTACTCCTCAGCTGTCTTATCAGCAAAATAGTGGAGACACTGTGAGCTACGCAACCAAGGCAAACAACAACTTTTCACAGAGATAGTATAAGCCAGTGGTCGCCAACCTTTTCAGTGTGTTGAGCTACTTTGATAATTTTGGGATAAACAGTGTAAATAGTAAGTAAGCAATGTAAGCCAACTTAAATGAAATTATACACAGTTGTATGCGATATACATGTGTTTATTTTACTAATACTAATGTATACTAATATACTTAAATAAGCTAATAACTAAGGCCCGCATCGTCAGTCGTCCCTACAATTGTAGGGTGCGTTTATGGCCTCCTTGATTGTCATACTCTTTTCTCTCCTTCAAAAATTTCTAGATTTCACTCGTCCCGTGTCAGCGTCAGCTCTCTCCTGTTGTTAAGAAATGTGTTCCTTTTAAACTGTAGGTAATTTCAGGCTGACAAAACATGATATAACTCAGAAGCAAGCACAATTTGATAAAAATAGATGTTTGTGACATAACCTCAAAATAGAGCTCTGACACGGAGAAGTAGAAAACTATGACAATCAAGGAGGCCATAAATGCGCCCTACAATTGTAGGGACGGCTGACGATACGGGCCTAATACATACTACATAACTACATCCATTCCTACCAATCGTAGGTGTTTGCAAAATAAACAAAATTTTTCGTCAGCTACAATGGCATGTAACATACGATTTAATAAAGTCAATAAAAAAGGTAACGCACTATTGTAAACAAAAGCATGTCCAGATAAAAAATGCGTGTTCAATGAGAAGCCTGACACTCAGACTCACTGAAATTTGTTTAATGTTTGGAGTATAATTTGAATTATTATCCAAATGTTCATCTGTAAGTTGATTACGGTACATCTTTTAAATATTCTTCATATTTGTAAAAGAACACTGACACAAATAGATTGAGCTAAATAACGCTTCCACTTTCAAGGCTACACGAGATATAACTGAATATTTATCTCTACTTACTTGAGGCCAGATACATTTTGTATTTTTATTTGACACTAATGATTTTAAAGCTAAATCATTTTGAAACGCAATCGCTTCCATATTGGTCACAACGATGTCTGCGATGTCTTAGATAAAATTCTGCGTACCAGAAGTTGCAAACTCTTGGATATCAATTTCCATGAAGGGTGAAACAACAAATTGCGCCACTATAGTAAGTTCGTTGAAATCCTTGAAATGATTTTTGAAGTTGTCCTTCAAGCTAGAGACTATTTCTACATGATATTTACTGTTATATTGCTCTAATGGACTTTGAGATATCTTTTCTGAAACAACAAGAAAATGCCTGGTATCGTCATCGACTAAGTTTTGTTCCCAAAACTCAAGCTTTTTCATAAACGCTTTTATATCAGAAATCATTTCTGCTAGTTCTTTGTCTCTCCCCTGAAGCTTAAAATTAAGTTTATTTAATATTTCTGTAATATCCACAAGAAACCAAGATCTCTAAGCCGGATTGAACTTTCCAGTTCCGGAATCGGTTCATCACGATGTTTGAAAACTTGAACTATAGCAGAAATGGTATCATTAAAACGTTTCAGCTCTCGGTCCTTACTTAACCATCGGACAGAGTGAAGAAGCAGTTCCCCATATTGACAGTCAATTTCATCGGCAAGGCTTTGAATAATCTTTGTTGTAACGCTTGAGCTCTAATCTCGTACACAATTTTTACTACCAATTTCATAACTTTGTACAGTTTTGGAAAATGTCCACATAATGCTTGTTGTGGGATAATCCAGTGGTAACAGAGAAATTGCGGAAAACTTTCATCTTTACGACAAAACTCCACTAGACCCTTATCACGACCCACCATAGCTGGAGCGTCATCGGTTCTCAATCCTACCATTTTCGATATTGGAATTTTCTGAGAAGAAATAATATCTTAAAAAAACCATCCTGACGAACACGGCCATCTGAGAGGTGTCAATGATATATGTGGATTCATCCAGCTGTAGTGTAAAATAAGCATAGTTATCGAAGTCATTTCTTAACTGTAGAACAATATAATTACTCAATACTTCTACTCGTCTCATCACTGTATTAACAGAAAGTTGCGTAGATTTTATCGCAGATACTATCTCGTCTTATTTCTAAAGTTGGCAAAGAATAAATCTGCAGCTTCTAACAGCGCCTTTTTTATCATTTCTCCGTCTTCATAAGGTTTCTTTTTGTGTAATTATCTATATGATGCTTCAGTTCCACCCTTACTTATGTCGATTGTTTTTGAAAATATTGGCTGTTGTCCAATTATCTGATTTTTTAATTGTTTGAGTTATTCTGATCTGGTTGCAGAACGTAATGGGAATGATTTTTCAAAATTCGAATGTACAGTTTTATAGTGCCTCTCGATATTTCTTTTTTTTAGCAACGGATACATAACAAACATACATTTTTACCTTTAACTTTTGTAAAGAAATGTTGTTCTTCCCATTCCGAATGGAAATGGTATGTCTTCATCTTCTTACTACTGCTCATAATGTTTTAATTGCAGGCCAACTTTAATCTAACCGCTGGACTTTGTGTCGTTCAGTTTCGAACTGAGCGCACTGTCACCGCGCCTTGCGTATTTATCCCGATCAAACTAATCGAGATCGTTCTCGAACGGCTCGCTCACCGCAGTTTTGCCGCTGCTTGTGTTTATTATGAGAACTTGATTTTTACACCTTTTTAAAATACATTGTGAGCCACCAGAATTGCCTTTGCGAACGGCCACCGGTAGCTCGAGATCGACGGGTTGGCGACCACTGGTCTAAGCAATATTTTTTTCTTGTTCACCAAGCTATGTGCATTCCGCAGTGGTCGATTCTGGTGGGATAGATGGCGCTTTGCGCTATCTCATTGCGATATGACTATTTCCGTTTCTTTCAAACATCCAACGAACGCCATTTTATTTTAATTGCAAGCATTTCATTTTATTGGAGATTTCGATACACCAGTTCAAACGAATCAATCTCATATACCGCATATCATATAGGGTTCTATTTCCACATTGTTGAGACACTGAGTACTAAACTTTCGTTAGTAAAATCTTTAGATGTCATATTTTGTTTCTATAAGTTTTATTCAGTTTTTTTATTGCCTTTACAAGGATTCCTTTTTAACCTATTTGCTGTTTTTAAACATTAGGCCCGTTATTCCAATCCTAGTTGTTTCTGAAAATCTATTCCCAAAATTTAGGACACCCTATATACACGTTTAATATCCCTTCACCAGGCGCTGAGAAAATAATAACGTCAGTGTTAATTCAACGCCGAATCCCAGCGCTGCTACCATCTAGATAGACGGAATATAATTCGTATATTTGCTGTGTAAGCAAACACAAACGAACCATGTTTATGCAACTAATGGCAATATTCGTACGAATAGGGGCGGAAACTACGAGTAGGGGCAGGGGCAATAGCTCGCGTGCTCCGATTAGCGTTTTGGCACGCTTACGAATGCTAGGAGGAGGCAATTCATATGAGCCGCTTCCGAATTATATAGAGCGGCGTAAGGAGTGTGCACGAGTGGGGATTAACTAGGTCAGGGATTACTATTCCGGCCAGAGCCAGAACAGAGCACCGGAGCTGTGAGGAACGGTGTCGAGCTGTTTCTGACCTACGTTGGATAAAGGTTAACATCCTAACGCGGCAACACCTACGTTGTTTTTTTTTTATACAGAATCAGCCGTGCAGTGAGAAGCCATGGCACAACAGCTGCTATGAGGAACTTAGAAGCGCTTTGTTAGTCTGATTTCTGAGCTACCTAAGGTTAGTGGAACTCTTCAGGCAGATTGTACCCCGGTCTCGATACCCTAGGGACAAAGGAACCGTCGCTTTGATTACCTCTGAAAGTTCGACACGATTAGAATGAGAAGTCGGGGCGACAGCGCCCCAAACATTTGAGCAGTACTCGAGGCTAGAATTTATCTCGACCGTGTACAGTGTGCGGAGGTTACGTGCAGTACTGTATTTTGGTATTAAACAGTACCAGATTGTCGCGTTCCCAAGCAGTGATAACCTCCATATCTCTCGTCAGCGAAGAAGGCACTACTTGTCTTGTTTTCTCCAGCTCATCGACAGATGTAGAGGGCTGCTATCTGCAAAGCTGCTGATCTGATTAGTCATACAGAAAAGGAGGTCGTTATATGTAAGAGGAACAATTTCGGAGGCAAGATCGATCCCTTTGAAACATCCGCGTTGTCACTGTGGACCTTCGTGGTAGCAAGAGCAATGACATGAGCCTCACCATATGATTGGATGAGGTCACTAAATTGCGTGAAGTAAACCCTTGTAGATCGCTGGTGCTGGAAACCTTACTGAATGTCAAGCCGTGACGTTAAGGTACTCCATAAGCTCGCGACTTAAGCACCTCTCCATGACCAACAGAGGTATAGGTCTCTAGCTGTAAAGGTCGGCTTTGGATCATTTTCTTTGGGTTGGCTGGGCATGAGTCTTCTGGAATATTACCGGATTCGTCAGATATCTGGAAGGGACGCGAAATAACTGGAACAAGCTCGTCTGTACCACAGCAGGAATCAAGTCCGGACCAGAAGCATGATTTCGAAAAAGCTAACTTTATTACCTTCTGTTTATCATTACAAACTATTTCTGCACCCCAAATCCAGCCGGGGTTAAGCCTATTTTTGTCAAAAAAGAGTTTAATATGTTAGGTTTATGATAATCTTGTAAATTTTCATTTGCTACATGCAGCATCCACCTATCTGTAATAATAAGGACGATTTTTTAACTCATGTCGCATACAATACAATGCAAGAAAAGTATTTCCAATACAATTATCTAAGACTACTTATTTGGACTTAAACTAGTCTGACTCTGAGGTACAGATTTAGTGTTTGACAATAACTATCTCTAAAAAAATAAGCCATTCTTCTGCAATGTACTTGCTGAATTTTTTTAATCGATCAATAGTTCAATTACTATAAAAGATATCTAAAAACGTTATTTAGAAACATTGTAAGCAAATATTCCGCTACAAGATGATTCATAACTATGTGTCAGCGCAAACATGCGTTTTCTAATGGAATATGCTGTATGTTTTAGCATATTTTGAAGGGCCCCTTCCAAGGAGGAAGTTTGATATAGGATATAGGCGTTACGGGGTACTTTTGAACTTTGATAGCTTGTAGCTTGCAGATAAAGTGGCAAACTTGGGAAGATATACGTGTTGCCCCATTCGAACGTTTTATGGAACCACGTGTGTTTGAGAACTTTGTACAATCAATTGACTCAAACAATTCAATCCATGTGTAAACATATTTTCGCGTTTTCTAGACAAGGTATATATTTCAAAAAGGGTCGACCAAACGCAAGAACATCTAGGGCTGACACGGTATGTAACAAAAATATGGATATCTATAAAAACAACTCTGATATCCAGATCAGTTGTAGAAGACCATTTTTTAAATGTAATCTCACAGGGATAGAGGGAGAAAATCATGAGCAGTTCTTAAAAAGTTTTGTGTCTTGAAGCAATACTCCATCCACGTACGTCTGGCCACCCCTAACATGAGTTATAATTGCACGCAGCTGGGCCGGCAAATAGAGATAATGATACGAACCTTAATAACAGCTATTACATATCGTTGACCGATCACGCAGTGTGCTGCAATAGGGTTCGGTTTGCCCATCTTAGAGGCCTTCACATCTCGAAAAGAGAAAATAGTCACAAGGACTCAAGTCAGGCGAATAAGGAGACTAGTGTATGACAAGGAGCATTATTCCGGATTCTGTCGATATTTTCATCGGTTCTTCAAGATGAAGGCCTTCTGCTTCGTGGCTTATATTCAATCGACTCTCTCCCTTCTGAAAATGCCTCAAACCAAAGAAAAACCTGGGCTCTTGACGAAATACACATCTTTAGCAACAGTTTCCATTCCATTGTGCCCAAGTCTGAGGCAAAACCTGATAGCATACCGTTGCTTGAAATTGATATAACACAATCTAAAAAACTGTTTAACAAGAAACAATTGTTAGGAACAACCAAATGACTCGAGCTAGTTCAAACTTGTACTGAAAGAGGATCACATCTCTCCGGCACCTCAGGTGCCACAGAGCAGCGCTATTAAGCTGAATATCTGCAGCCGTGGGATAGTTTTGATAGTTCACAACGTTCAAACAACGAACTATAAAATCTGGCAGCTGATAAAAAATAACAAAGCTATCCCAGGACTATGGCTATGCAGCATAAAAGGCATTGCTTTACGCTGATTGAACGCGGCATATCTTTTTTCATAAGAGAAAAAACTGTTTCTTTGAAATATCAATACACTGTATTCTTTTCTCTCACGGATTTTCAACTAAATCAACGAATCGGTAGACTGACGGAGTATTTAACTAAGAATTCAATTTATCCGACAACATGCGCCGATTGTTTGTCCAAACAGTGGATTTGCAAAGTGCAGCATTCGAATATAGAACACAATGAAAGCGTTTCCCATTCGGTATTCCTCTATTCAACTGCGACCGTTTAGCTTTCAATCCCAACGCGCGGCCACATTGGCAATAATAGATTTTTACATTAGATACACATGAGTTATCGTATCAATAATACGTTATAATTACCATGCTGGGAGGCTGATCTGAATGTAGACAACAATGAACGCGCTAGATTTGGTTCACTCTGTCCGGAGGACAGGAATTTTAGTTTATGTGGGACAGAATATTAGCACAGCATCCCAGGTAGACAGTTCCGTGTCCCTTTTTTCAACAGCCTGCCTGGAGGAGTATTCTTAATAATTTTCGTCTGATTGATTCATGTTGTGTATACAGATGACCGAAAAACAGTTATCAGTTTTTTTTTATCCAAAATGCATGTTTTGTGCATTTATCCAGTGTGAACCATGAT